GGAAATGATATTGGGAAGGGTAGGAGAGAAGAGCTGCTAGATAAGTACAGGTCAGCTATAGATTTCATTAAGTCTAAGGGAGGGATCCCAATCATATGTAGCATCTTGCCTAGAAGGGGAGTAGGAAATGAATGGGTTGTCTAGGGCAATTGGTGTAAATTGCTGGCTAGACAGATACTGCAAGGAACTTGCAATCCCATTCTTGGGCAACTGGAACAACTTTTATGGCAAACATGATATGTATGCAAGGGATGGGGTACATTTTCTCTGGGTCAGGGGTGGGAGCACTTGCAGACTCGATTGAGAAGGCCATTTGGTTTAAATGCCCATGATTTTAAAACTGATGGAAAGATAGAGGTTGGGTGTGTGTGGGAAACAAGCAGGTTGCAACACTAGGGTTGGAAACAGTAAATGTATAAAAGGCATTCAGCATGAAGTTATAAATAAAAACAATAGAACAGGTCAGCAAACAAAGGGGGACAGCAAAAGGGCAGCAAGGGACTAGCTCCCTTAAGGTTTACTATACTAATAGCAGGAGTGTTAGAAATAAGATAGATGAGCTAAGATTAATTGCAAGTGCAGGAAACTAGTATTTTGCTATAACAGAGACCTGGTCAATCTGAAAGATAGAGAGATGCCCTCTTGAATGTCACATACAAGGCTATAAATTATTCCCACTGACAGGGTCAACAGGAAAGGTGGTGGAAATAGCGATGTATGTCAGAGACAATTTAAATTGTTGTTTTTAGGGGCAAGATATTAAATTAGAAGCGTCAGCCACTGAATCTGTTGGTTACAGCTTCTCGAGGGCGAGAAAAAACTAATTTTGGGTGTTGGGTTTACAGGGCCCCCAAAACTTGATAGGGAGTGCAGTAAACTTCTATGGGACGAAATTCGTAAAGGCATCTACATACGAAAATGTTGTGCAAATGGGGGATTTCAACTATAGAAGATTGACTGGAGCAATTTGACGGAAATTTAGAGTCGGGTGACTTCTTGATACGATCCAGGATTGTTTTTTTAAAAAGTTTGTGACAGAGCAAACTAGGGGAAATAACCTCCTTGACTTGGTTTTGCCAGTAGGGAAACACTAATTAATAAACTTGAGGTTAATGATGAGCTTGGGGAGAGTGATCACAAATCACCAGTTTTAATATATCATGGGGAATTCCCCTAATAATGGCAATCAAGTCTCCGTCCCTGACTTTCGCTTGGCTGATTTCATAGGACTGAAAAATTACTTAGGTGGGCTGAACTGGAATGACCTGACTAAGGTCAGGTAGGGGTGATGGTTGCCGATATGATGCTTTCCAGGGCATAGTTCTAGCTGCTCAGTCAAATTAGTTCCAAATAGGGAAATCAGATCAAAAAAAAAATGATCCTAAATGGATGAACAATAGATTAAAATATCTGATTGGTCAAAAGAGAGGCATATATAGGCAAATCAAAAGGGGGAGAGGGGCAATTAAGAAATCGATATATTCAGTTAAAGAGAGAAATAAAAAAGGGAATTAGAAAAGCAAAAAGAGATTATGAGGTTAAAGTTGCAAAGAATCGAAGACTAACCCAAAAGGATTCTTTCAGGTATACAGAAGTAAGATCAGGGACAAGATAGGCCCACTCAAAAGTTCCTCGGGTCAGCTCACTGACAGTGATAAGGAAATGTGTAGAATTTTTAACACATACTTCCTCTCAGTTTTTACACAGGAGGATACCAGCGATATTCCAGTAATGATAAATTATGTAGAACAGGACGATAATAAACTGTGCACTATTAGGGTCACAAGTGACATGGTCCTTAGGCAAATAGATAAATTAAAACCCAAAACAAATCCCAGGCCTGATGAACTGTATGCAAGGGTTCTAAAGGAATGTAAAGAGGAGCTTAGCACACCTTTGGCTAATCTTTTCAACATATCACTACATACTGGCATGGTGCCAGATAAGTGGAAAATGGCAAATGTGATACCTATTTTCAAAACAGGTGACAGGGCCTTAGCTTCGAACTATAGACCAATAAGCCTAACCTCCATAGTGGGAAAATTTATGGAATCAATAATTGCCGAGGCAGTTCGTAGCCATCTTGAAAAGCATAAATTAATCAACGAATCTCAGCATGGTTTTACAAAGGGGCGTTCCTGCCTTACGAATTTATTAACTTTTTTCACTAAGGTATTTGAGGAGGTAGATCATGGTAATGAATATGATATTGTGTATATGGACTTCAGTAAGGCTTTTGACAGGGTCCCACATCAGAGACTATTGAGGAAAATTAAAGCACATGGAATAGGAGGAGAAATTTTTTCCTGGATAGAGGCATGGTTGACAAATAGGCAGCAGAGAGTTTTGCATAAATGGGGAGAAATCAGAGTGGGGAAGCGTCACGAGCGGTGTTCCACAGGGGTCAGTGTTGGGCCCCCTGCTGTTCACAATCTACATAAACGACATAGATGAGGGCATAAAGAGCGAAATCGGCAAGTTTGCCGATGACACCAAAATAGGCCGTCGAATTCATTCTGACGAGGACATTCGAGCACTCCAGGAAGATTTGAATAGACTGATGCAGTGGTCGGAGAAGTGGCAGATGCAGTTTAATATAGACAAATGCAAAGTTCTAAATGTTGGACAGGACAATAACCATGCCACATATAAACTAAATAATGTAGATCTTAATATTACGGATTGCGAAAAGATTTAGGAGTTCTGGTTAGCAGTAATCTGAAACCAAGACAACAGTGCATAAGTGTTCGCAATAAAGCTAATAGAATCCTTGGCTTCATATCAAGAAGCATAAATAATAGGAGTCCTCAGGTTGTTCTTCAACTCTATACATCCTTGGTTAGGCCTCATTTAGATTATGCTGCACAGTTTTGGTCACCGTATTACAGAATGGATATAAATTCTCTGGAAAATGTACAAAGGAGATGACAAAGATGATCCCATGTATCAGAAACCTTCCCTATGAGGATAGACTAAGGGCCCTGAAACTGCACTCTCTAGAAAGACGTAGAATTAGGGGGGATATGATTGAGGTGTATAAATGGAAGACAGGAATAAATAAAGGGGATGTAAATAGTGTGCTGAAAATATCTAGCCTAGACAGGACTCGCAGCAATGGTTTTAAGTTGGAAAAATTCAGATTCAGGAAGGATATAGGTAAGTACTGGTTTGGTAATAGAGTTGTGGATGAGTGGAACAAACTCCCAAGTACCGTTATAGAGGCCAGAACGTTGTGTAGCTTTAAAAATAGGTTGGATAAATACATGAGTAGATGTGGGTGGGTGTGAGTTAGACCTGATAGCTTGTGCTAACAGGTCGGTTGCCGTGTTCCTCCCTTAAGTCAATGTGACCTGACCTGACTAGGTTGGGTGCATTGGCTTAAGCCGGTAGGAGACTTGGACCTGCCTCGCATGGGCCAGTAGGCCTTCTGCAGTGTTCCTTCGTTCTTATGTTCTTATGTTCTTATGTTCTTATGAGTCATGCACTGCATCTAGCTAATCACAGCTGTGTAAACAAAGATGTACTCCCATATCTACCGCTGGTGAAGTAAGGTTAAGTAACGTTAAATGACGTTTCTTATTTCCACAAAACCCGCCTAATATTGGTCATTTTAAGGGGGCTGTTTTACCATTTAAGGTTTAAATCATAGAATATTATAAGGACTCCAATGGAAACAAGACACTGACTTTTTTGGGGTTTTCTTGGGTAATTTACACTATGTATGATAGTTGTACTTATGTGTACAAGTGTGGCCCGGTGGCCTGGTGGCTAAAGCTCCCGCTTCACACACGGAGGGTCCGGGTTCGATTCCCCACGGGTGGAAACATTCCGACACGTTTCTTTACACCTATTGTCCTGTTCACCTAGCAGCAAATAGGTACCTGGGTGTTAGTCGACTGGTGTGGGTCGCATCCTGGGGGACAAGATTAAGGACCCCAATGGAAATAAGTTAGACAGTCCTCGATGACGCACTGACTTTCTTGGGTTATCCTGGGTGGCTAACCCTCCAGGGTTAAAAATCCGAACAAAATCTTATCTTATCTAAATATACTTACTATAATACTTCAAAATAAGTTTATTAGTCCAATTCTTCAAGCCAGACTGCCACTTCTAAGCTTTTACCATAAGAAACCTCCTGAGGAGCGCCATGGCAAGCTTTTATTCAACAGATTGTGAAGCGAGTTTTTGAGCCAATAGATTGTGAAGCGGGTTTTTGACCCCAGGAACTGCGAAGCGGGTGTTTGAGCCCAGGAATTGGGAAGCGGGTTTTTGACCCCAGGAACTGCGAAGCGGGTGTTTGAGCCCAGGAATTGGGAAGTGGGTTTTTGACCCCAGGAACTGGGAAGCGGGTTTTTGACCCCAGGAATTGGGAAGTGGGTTTTTGACCCCAGGAATTGGGAAGCGGATTTTTGACCCCAGGAACTGGGAAGCGGGTTTTTGACCCCAGGAATTGGGAAGCGGGTTTTTGACCCCTGGAACTTGGAAGCGGGTTTTTGATCCAATGGATTGGGAAGTGGGTCATGGACCGGACCGCAGGGGCGTCGACCTCCCGAAACACCCTTCAGGTATACTCCAGGTATTGGGACTGGGAAACGGGTTTTTATCCAATGGACTAGAAAATGGGTTATGAATCCAAGGGATTGGGAAGCAGTTTTTTTGATCCAGTACCTGGAGTATACCTGGAGGGTGTTCTGGGGGTCAACGCCCCCGCGGCCCGGCCCGTGGACAAGGAAGAGGGATTTTTGATCCAATGGATTGGGAATCGGGTTATTGATCCAAAGGATTGGGAAGCAAGTTTTTGATCCAAGGGATTGAAAAGCAGGTTTTTGATCCAGTACCTGGAGTATACCTGGAGAGTGTTCTGGGGGTCAACGCCCCCGCGGTCCGGCCCGTGGACAAGGAAGAGGGATTTTTGATCCAATGGATTGGGAATCGGGTTATTGATCCAAGGGACTGGGAAGCAGGTTTTTGATCCAAGGGCCTTGGAAGGTGGTGTTGGAGAGTGTCGCCATCTGTTGGAGGAGACAGTGACCACCATCACCATCGTCTGCTCCACACTGCTGCTATTTTACCCATTATTAGTGAGATGCTGAGGAGCTCAGCGGCCCTGAGGGCAGCCCTGCCCAGGCTGACGCCCAGGAACGTGCCCAGGAAGACGTCAGAACGTCGTCTGACGTCGCTGCTGACTTCAAATGACAAGAAAATAAGGTGATAATCACTTTGACTCTCTCCCCCATCACTGCCGGCACAATGTTATGGCATTAATGGGGCAGACTGTGGCCCCCATTAGGGTTATACCTACATCATGGGGGGTCCCTTGGTGTTGTTCAGAGGCTCTTGATCCAAGGAATTGATCTTGTGTCCTGACCTTCCAGGGGGTCGAGCCTCGCTGCCTACAATTCCCCCAAGTGGTGTTTTTGATCTTACTGATTTAGTGCTTCCCGTCAAATACAATGATATGGAAGTTATACACAGCCTGGGGAATGGTGGGTGAATCATGTTTGATCCAAGGAAGAGGAGTGTCTCCATCACCAAGAGGCTGCCGGCACTGGTGATGGTTATTTTGGGCTCTTGATCCATGGAACTGCAGCTGGTCTACCCTTGAATCAAACCTCATCCCTCTCCTGTTATTCCCCAGCTGCTTTGGGACCCCCTGTGGGTTTAGTGCTTCCCCATGACCCTAAAATATTCCTGGTCTAATTCAAGTCATAATCTAGATGCATTTTTGAGGGTCAGTATTTTTTTTTTACATGTCTGCATATATAGCGTTATCAAGTTTGTGGTTTAGTGATTTTTTACATATTCCTTTGAAAAATTAAGTCTGTTACGCGTCTCACGGCTCGATGGTAGCACCGTCGACTCGACCAATAGACTTAATAATAATTAATAATAATAATAATATAATATTAATCTCTATTTCTACAGGTACATGTACAAGGTATACTGACCATAGCTGACATTTTTGGGCAAATTAGGTTAATTTTGTCCCCAGGATGCGACCCACACCAGTCCATTAACACCCAGGTACTTGGATTTAATCCTGGGCTGAATACAATGTTAGGCATGTATTTTTACACCTGTTGCTCCTGTACATCTAGCAGTAAGTAGGTACATTACACGAATGTGCTGGTCGACTAATGTGGGCCGTATCCTAAGAAAGAGGATTAAGTAAGTGTACTCAGGTTCTGGTACTCATAAATGCAGTTACATAAATTATCATACATAGTAGCATATGTGTAGGCCTCGCTGCCTACAATTCCCCCAGGTAGAAGTTAGCTAGACTGTTGTGTTTTCTTGGGTTATCGTCTACTCTTATTTTTTCTACTTGTGTATATGATTTTTTATGAACGTGTTTGCAGTGATCCGTATTAGTAGCAAACATGTAGATTGTACATTATGCATTTGCTTCTCCACCATAATTTCTTTAAAAATCGCTATTTGCTTGCACTGTTCCTTTTTTGCACTGTCTTGTATGTATAAGTGTCATTTCAATTACTTTTTACAAATTAAAAATTCTTTAAAGATTAGATAAAATTTTGTTCACATTTTTAACCTGGAGGGCTAGCAACTCGGAATAACCCAGTCGAGTCCTTGCAACATCAGGGACTGTTGGTCATATTTTTAATTGAATCTTTTAATCTTTTCCCCATGATGCAACTCAAACCAGTTGACTAACACCCAAGTACAGTGGACCCCCGGTTAACGATATTTTTTCACTCCAGAAGTATGTTCAGGTGCCAGTACTGACCGAATTTGTTCCCATAAGGAATATTGTGAAGTAGATTAGTCCATTTCAGACCCCCAAACATACACGTACAAGCGCACTTACATAATTGGTCGCATTCGGAGGTGATCGTTATGCGGGGGTCCACTGTACTTACTTACTGCTACGTGAACAGGGGCAGCAGGTGTAAAGCAATATGCTCAATATTTCTCTCGTGCTGGGATAAATCCTCGATCCTTCAGTATGTGAGTGAGTTGAGGATGCTTTCAGCTGAGCCATGAGCACCCTCTTGTTATTCATACTTAATTAATAAAGAAATATGATTAATCCTTAAATAACTCGTTTTACTTTATCCTATATATTAAGATGACCTTGTTAGTTATCACACCAATGAAATAAAATGTACAGTACAGGTCGGCCATCACTAATCTGGCAATCAGTTATCCGGTTCCATCAGTAATCCGGTACTAATTTCGGCTAGCATAATATCAGATTTCATCATTATACTGACTCAAATTTCATCACTATACTGACTCAGAAATTCTGTAGGTGGTTGTAAATCTACAGCAGCAAGCCAGTGGAGGACAAAGTGGTGAAAATGAGGAAGATGTAGCAGAAAGTCTCTATTGATAGGTTAATTAGTGAATTCTAACCTAACCACTCTGTAATCCGGCAAACTCACTAATCCTACACACTACAGGTCCCAGTGATGCTGGATTAGTGATGGCTGACCTGTACTATATTGCTTGAATGTTCAAAGACATGCTGCATTTTAACCTTGTAATTTTTTTTGTGTAATGCATGTACTGTATACTGTTCGTCCAGGTTTAAACTATGTAGAAACTTCTGTGAAGGAAACTTAAAACCCTACTTTTTAAAGGGGTGGACCGGTAAGCCAGCGGAAGGCCTCGATCAAATGACCAAAACCTCCAAAGGTGGGTCATTATATGACTAAGACTCATGTCAGGAAATACTTGTCTAGTTTCCTGATGAACCTAACCTAACCTTCTATGAAGAGATTCAAGGGAAACTGTTTAACTGGACTTGGGTTCTAGAGGTGGAAAGTATAATATATTCTTTGAACAAGAGGTGAGGATGTTGCAGTTCAGAGGGCCATCTGAACTGTGATGTCAGCATGTTGCTGGCAAGACAGTGATTAAATGAATGACAGTAAATGTGTTTCCCCCTTTTTGGGTCATCCTATCTTGGTGAGGGATGACCTGTATATTAAAAAAAATTTATCTGCATCTGCACTCAACCCTCATTCTAGAATATATTTAAATATTTCAGTTCTCAAAATAAATACCTTATTTTCAATATTTTTTTATTCTCCCAGGGGCTTAAGAATCCTGGAAGCACATGCGGTGGAAGCAAAGAAGCCAACAGCTGTAGTGTCTCCCTTTTTCCGAGGCTATGCATCGAATGGCGACCTTCCTCCCCACATTAAGGTCAATCTCCCGGCCCTCTCCCCTACCATGGAGATGGGCACCATCATCTCATGGGAAAAGAAAGAAGGTAATATTTGCTATAGGTAAACTAGTGTTATACTATATTTTCTTGTTAATGATGCACTATATATATGTGCTGCATTATATTTTGCTTTTAATAAGTAGACACAACTGGAATGAGAATATGTCAGAGGTGATAGAAAAAGTGTGGTAGTCAGCTTTCATATGAAACTCCTTCATGTTGTGTGTTTTTTTTTTTTTTTTGCAAATGCTATTCAGTTTTGGCTGCACCTTTTCAGTTACATTCGCTAATAATTGCAACTTACACCTACCATCTGACTTATGATCTGCTCGACTTACGACGACTCGACTTAGGACCGTGTTTTTTATGCCAAATTTCTGGGAAATAAACAAGTGTTTGTGTTGTACAGTGTTTATCCTAAACCTTACAGTATAAAATACAGTACTAACAGCATAAAAAGTAAGGTAAAACATGAAATACCAAAATAAAACAATAAAATAGTCATTACAAAATGTTATGTTGATATTCAGTAAAGTTCGACTTATGACCATTTCGACTTACGACCGGTTTCTCGGAACCGAACTCGGTCGTAATTTCCATTTCATTATTGTTTCTTATTCTTAGCACAGTTTTTGATGAAAGCCTCGCCCATTCTCTCATTGGCTCTTCAATTGCTCTTTCCCACCACTGTTTTAATCTCATTTGTTTCCTCTCCATATACAGCCTCTCCTCACTTAATGACGGAGTTCCTTTCCTAAGTCCACATTGGTAAACGAATTCGTCACTAAGTGAGGAGCATGTTATAATGGTAATGGGTTTGTGTCAACTATCTTTGATATTGTTTTAATGTCACCTTTGCACCATTTATAACATTTCTGGTATACAGTGGACCCCCGCCTAACGATATTAATCCGTTCATGAGAGCTCATTGTTGTGCGAAATTATCGTTATGCGAATGAATTTTCCCCATAAGAAATAATGGAAATCAAATTAATCCGTGCAAGACACCCCAAAGTATGAAAAAAAAACATTTTTACCACATGAAATATTAATTTTAATACACACAAACTGAAAAAGGCATGCACAATTACATGACACTTACCTCTATTGAAGATCTGGTGATGATTGATGGGATGGGAGGAGGAGAGAGTCTTAATGTTTAGAAGGGGAATCCCCTTCCATTAAGACTTGAGGTGTCAAGTCCTTTTCTGGGGTTACTTCCCTTCTTCTTATAATGCCACTAGGACCAGCTTCAGAGTCACTGGACTTGTGTCGCACAACATATCTGTCCATAGTGGCCTGTACCTCTCATTCCTTTATGACTTCCCTAAAGTGTTTCACAACATTGTCAGTGTAATAGTCACCAGCACGGCTTGCAATAGCTGTGTGAGGGTGATTTTCATCGATAAAGGTTTGCACTTTCAGCCACATTGCACAGATTTCCTTAATCTTTGTAGTAGGCAACTTCTTCAATTTCTCTCTCCCCTCCTCCGAACCAGTTTCCTCAGGTCTGGCCTCTTGCTGTTGAAGTTGATCTAGCAGCTCATCAGTGGTTAGTTCTTCATTGTCCTCCTCCACCAACTCTTCCACATCATCCCCACTAACCTCCAACCCCAAGGACTTTCCCAATGCCACAATGGATTCCTCAACTGGCATACTCCTCTCAGGGTTAGCCTGAAACCCTTCAAAATCCCTTTGGTCTACACATTCTGGCCACAGTTTCTTCCAAGCAGAGTTCAAGGTCCTCTTAGTCACTCCCTCCCAAGCCTTACCTATAAGGTTTACACAATTGAGGATATTAAAGTGATCTCTCCAAAACTCTCTTAGTTGAGTTTCTGAGGTCACTACAAAGCACCTTTCAAACAGAGCTTTTGTGTACAGTTTTTTGAAGTTTGCAATAACCTGCTGGTCCATGGGCTGCAGGAGAGGAGTGGTATTAGGAGGCAAAAACTTCACCTTAATGAACCTCATGTCCCCATAAAGTCGCTTTGCCACGTCTGTAGGATGACCAGGGGCATTGTCTAACACCAGGAGGCACTTAAGGTCTAATTTCTTTTCAGTTAGGTAATCTTTCACATTGGGGGCAAATGCATGGTGTAACCAGTCATAGAAAAAGTCCCTAGTGACCCATGCCTTACTGTTTGCCCTCCACAGCACACACAAATTAGCCTTAAGGATATTCTTTTGCCTGAACGCTCTGGGAGTTTCTGAGTGATACGCTAATAAAGGCTTCAATTTGCAATCACCACTAGCATTGGAACACATCAACAGAGTAAGCCTGTCTTTCATAGGCTTATGTCCTGGGAGTGCCTTTTCCTCCTGAGTAATGTAGGTCCTGCTTGGCATTTTCTTCCAAAACAGGCCTGTTTCATCACAATTAAACACTTGTTCAGGTTTCAGTCCTTCACTGTCTATGTACTCCTTGAATTCCTGCACATATTTTTCAGCTGCTTTGTGGTCCGAACTGGCAGCCTCACCATGCCTTATCACACTATGTATGCCACTATGCTTCTTAAATCTCTCAAACCAACCTTTGCTGGCCTTAAATTCACTCACATCATCACTAGTTGCAGGCATTTTTTTAATTAAATCCTGATGCAACTTCCTAGCCTTTTCACTTATGATCACTTGAGAGATGCTTTCTCCTGCTATCTGTTTTTCATTTATCCACACCAATAAGAGTCTCTCAACATCTTCCATCACTTGCAATCTCTGTTTCGAAAACACAGTTGAACATTTGGCAAGAACAGCTTCCTTGATTGCCTTTTTGTTGCCCACAATAGTAGCAATGGTTGACTGGGGTTTATTATACAACCTGGCCAGCTCGGAGACACGCACTCCACTTTCATACTTATCAATGATCTCTTTCTTCATCTCTATAGTAATTCTCACCCTTATTCCTGTAGGGTTGACACTAGAAGCTTTCTTGGGGCCCATGGTCACTTATTTTGCAGATAAAATCACCAGAAACACTGTAATAATACGAAATGTTCCGATTGTATGCTTGGATGTTACCGCGGAGGCTGGCTGGTAAACAATGCCACCGGCGGAACATGTGAGGCTGCCTAAGGCCGCACATTAGACGCATCTCGGACGAACAGCGTTGAGCGGGTTTTTTAGCGGTATGCAAGGCAAAAATCTTAGCGATAAAATGTATCGGTACGCGGATTTAACGTTACGTAAGGCCAACGGTATGCGGGGGTCCACTGTATTTTTAAATGCTTATACAGTAGTGTACTGTATACTGTAATAAAATGAACAGAGGAAATCAGCTCTAATATACATTATTTAGATATGCATAATGATCAGAGAGCCTGTAGTAAGTCTGAGTCATTGGTACACGAGTATGTCAGTAAGTGAGGAGAGGCTGTACTGACTTTCATATATCATTTTTATGTTGTAAAACCCTCTCATATGCAAATTTTTCTTCCTTACCACCTTCTTTACCTCACATTCCAGCAAGCATTCCTCTGCTCACCTGAAACCAATCTTCTATTCCCACAGCTTTGTGCTGTGCACTCTAGCACTACATTCGGCCTCTCCTCATTACCTGTACACTCTCTTGCCCACATTTCTTCCAATAGTTGCTTATATCTTTATGTACTTTTACTTCTTTCTCACCCACTGATGTCATTCTTCTTGTACCTCCTCTACCTCTTACATTGACTGTAGCTACCACTAAATAATGATCTAAACACATACACTGCTGTCATTACTCCCTATATACTTATCCTCTTTTTTCTTAACTTAAGTATTGCCTATTACCAAACCTCTTTTGATACATAATTCAGTTAAGAGGCTCCATTATGAGTAAAATAAATTTTAGATATGCGTTTTCTGTTAATGCAGGTGACGTTCTCAATGAAGGAGACTTGCTGGCGGAGATTGAGACAGACAAGGCCACCATGGGAATGGAAACTCCAGAGGAGGGTTACCTGGCAAAGATTGTTGTTCCTGCAGGTGAAAAGGATATCCCTCTTGGAAAGGCAAGTTATTTGTGATTACCTATTTGCAAGAGGAGAGTTGTGCTCATATTATCTTATTTTCAGTATATTTAGTTTTTCATATATGTAGTAGATTTAAAAGTTAAAAGCTCAAAGTGGCTGTAGCACACAGTAACTCTTGTATCTCATTTTTGGAGTCAAATTCCTTATTAATTCTTTTGTATTAACATGAAATATTTGATTTTAACCCTTCGACTGTCGCGGCCGTATATATACGTTTTACGAGGTGCCGTGTTTGACGTATATATACTCGTAAATTCTAGCGGCTTCAAATCAAGCAGGAGAAAGCTGGTAGGCCCACATGTGAGAGAATGGGTCTGTGTGGTCAGTGTGCACCATATAAAAAAAAATCCTGGAGCACGCAGTGCATAATGAGAGAAAAAAACTCCGACCGTTTTTTTTAATTAAAATGCCGACTTTGTGGTCTATTTTCGTATAGTATTTATGGTTGTATTCTCGTTTTCTTGGTCTCATTTGATAGAATGGAAAACATATTACAGAAATAGAGGTAATTTTGATTGATTTTACTATAAAAAGAACCTAGAAATGGAGCTCAAAGTAGGGGAAATGTTTGATTTTTGCCAATGTTCAAAAGTAAACAAATGATGCCATTGTCCAATAATGTCCAACTAGCCATTCTAATATGCAGTCATGAATGGGTTGATGTTATTTATACAGTTATTACAGCATTGCAGTAGTCTGCATAATAGTAAGTCTAATATTTTTTTTGAATAAAAATTCAAAATAGAAAGCAAGAGTAATATCAGAGGGGCCTGGAGACGTGACTGATGAACAAAGAAAACATTATTTTAGAGCCAGGAATGTCTGCATTGTTCATTCTGGACCTTATTTTGAAATTGTCATATTTTTTAATTTTCGTGAAATTGGCCAAATTGCAAATTTCTGACCACATTATTAGGTAGTTGAAATCAGTAAATGGGCAGTTTCTTGTACTCAATCGATAGAAAAAATGAAGTTCTAAAGAAATAGCTATGAGTTTGGGCGACTAGAACAATGGAATTAGCCGAAAATAGGGCTCAAAGTGGGCGAAATCGCTGATTTGTAAACAGCGCCGAGGTCGCTAACTTCGCGAGAGCATAATTCCGTCAGTTTTCCATCAAATTTCGTTTTTTTTGGTGTCATTACAATCGGGAAAAGATTCTCTATCATTTCATAAGAAAAAATAATTTTTTTTTTATTTTTAAATTTTGCGACACCAGGAGACACTTCAGGATTGGGGGTTGTGACAGTCAAAGGGTTAATATTAGTGGCAATTGTACTTTGTTATGAAGTACGGTATATATAAAGAAGAATTTTTTCGCTGACTAATAATTTTTCTTGCATTTTAACAGCTTCTGTGTATCATTGTAAGTGATGAGAAGGATGTTAGTGCCTTCAAGGATTACCAGCCTACCGAAGAGGCTTCTGCAGCCCCTGCAGCAGCAGCATCACCCCCACCTGCAGCAGCAGCTGCCACACCACTGCCACCACCACCACCACCACCAGCAGTCATGCCTCCTGCTGCAGCTCCAACTACTTCCCCACCAGCTGTTGCTCCAGGAAGCTTTGTATATGCCTCTCCTTATGCTAAAAAGTTATCTAGCGAACAAAATATTGATCTCTCGGTAAGTAATGAGCCAACAGGATGTGTGCTGTGTGGTGTTCTGCTTAGTGACGGGATCTGTCCCGAAAGTTTTGAGGTGTATTCTTGCAGTTTTTGTTTCTTAAGTCACTAAATGGGTTGGTAGAGTTTCAAAAAGTAATTTTAACACATATTAGTTTGCATTTCCAAGTAATCAAGCCTATAAAGGATTCTTTTCTTTAATCAATCTTCATATCATCCAGTGGGATGTGATGCAGGAGGGAATATGTTACAACTACTGGATACTAAAAGGCAAAAAAATTACATGGCAAACGCAACACTCATGAGTGGTCACCACAAAAGTAGTTCAGCTCTTGTAATTACTAAGGTAAAATTCGGCTTTATGGATGATGTGATGGATTCTGTTGCATGCTTCACCATTCCACTAACACTGGAACCAGAGTTATCAAGAGTACAGATGCTCCTCGCTTTATGATGGTTTGATTTACGATACTTCAACTTATGATATTTCGACTTTTAAGATGGTGCGATGGCGATGCATGTTCTGTACTGTACAGTAGATAATGATGCACATTCTGTACTGTACAATACAGCTTCCCCTCGCTTAACAACTGAGGTCCGTTCGTAAGACTGCATCAGTAGACGAATTCGTCGCTAAGCAAGGAGCATAATATAATGGCAGTCAGTTTGTGTTGACCATCTTTGATATTGTTTTAATATCACCTTTGCACCATTTATAGCATTTTTAGTATAATTTTAAGTGTTTATATATGGTATTGTACTGTACAGTGGTACCTTGACTTACTAGTGCCCCAACTTATGAGTTTTTCAAGTTATGAGCCTTTGCTCGGTCGAGTTTTTGCTTTGAGTTGTGATCCAAATTCCGAGTTACGAGCGAGCTTAGGGATACACTGCCACTCGCAGGAGATACTGAGGAAATTTCAAAAACTTTGATAATAACCAATGTGTAACATCCTTTCAATTTTGATACCACTGGTAGTGTTATCCTACCAGAATGTTTCTATAACGTATGCCCTAAGTGAAGAGAAATAATTCTGGAACGTGTAATACATGTTCGGCAGACCGGCTGGTTGGGTGGCCAGCTGGCTGGCCGGCGGCTGGTTGGGTGGCCAGCCTGCTGGCTGGCTGGTTGATTTGCTTTGGCTGTCTCTGTCTCCTTCTGTCTGTCTGTATCTATCTGTGTCTCTCTCTCTGTTTATCTCTGTCTCTGTTTCTGTCTGTCTATCTTTGTCTCTATCTCACAGGTACACATAAATACAGTTATACATAGTGTAAATTACTTAGGATAACCCAAAAAATCCAGACAAAGGGCTGCACCGTGCTTGTAGATATAAGGCATAATAAGCATGACTGGCAAGTAATACACATTTTCACTTGTTCAGGAATCATACGTGACGACTCGAGGCTGTACGAGCATAGTACTTCATGTCTCGTGCCTTTTCGTTTATTATGTCATATTAGATCAATTGTGATAGATAAATAAGCTGTAGAGTTGATATTGGCATTATTGGGGTGGTTTTTGGGGGCTGGAATGGATTAATGGCATTTCAGTTAATTTCATTGAGGAAAATTGATTTGATATACAGTGGAACCTCAAAAATCGAACGTATCACATATTGAACGTTTCGAAAATAAGACCATTTTTTCGGACAAACTGTGTCCCTATTATCGAATGCGCCCCTATTTTCGGACCGCCGGGTACGGGACCTGTCCGCTGGCCCGCTCTGTCCGCGTCCCCGCGCAGGCGCCGTGAGCAGTCTAGCTTTGTTTATGCTTGAGTGAACACTAACCTGCGATCTCATTCACACATTTTATGATTATTTTATTGTGTTTAGTGCTTGTGGGGCTGTGAAATAAGCTGCCATGGGCCCAAAGAAACTTGTTAGCGGTGGTAAAGAAAGTGAGAAACGCCATAGATGTGAAGAAGGAAATAATGCGCAAGTATGAGATTGGAGTGAGACTTGTTGAGCTTGCCAGGATGTACAGAGGACTGTGGACAGTTATTTTGTGAGACAGAAACAGACGACTGTGGGCAGTTATTTTGTGAGACAGAAACAGACGACTGTGGATAGTTGTTTTGTGAGACAGAAACAGACGACTGTGGACAGTTGTTTTATGAGACAGAAACAGACGACTGTGGACAGATATTTTGTGAAACAGAAACAGACGCCTGTGGAGTTATTTTGAGAGACAGAAACAGACAACTGTGGAGTTATTTTGTGAGACAAACAGACGATTATTTTTTATTTATTTTTTATTATCACACCGGCCGATTCCCACCAAGGCAGGGTGGCCCGAAAAAGAAAAACTTTCACCATCATTCACTCCATCACTGTCTTGCCAGAAGGGTGCTTTACACTACAGTTTTTAAACTGCAATATTAACCCTTTGAGGGTCCGTCCCGTAGATCTACGGCTTTACATTCAGGGTCCAAACCGTAGATCTATGTCATGAGCTCATCTCACTCTGATAAACTGTGAGTGGTACATTTGGGCCTAGATATGAGAGAATGCATCTATGTGGTATGTGTGCACCACATAAAACAGATCCTGCAGCACGCTGTGTATAATGAGAGAAAACTGAAATCATGATTTTTCGATTAAAACAACGACTTTGCAGTGTTTTTTCATATGTTTTTTATAGTTCTATTTGCGATTTCTTGGTCTCATTTGATAGAATGGAAGACATATTACAGAAATAGAGATGATTTTGATTGGTTTTAGCACTGGAAATGGCTTGAAACTGAGCTCAAAGTAGCAGAAATGTTAAATTTTTGCCGATATTCAAGAGTAAACAAACGACCTCACACGTCTAATACACGCCAGCTGGTGGGTCTAATATGCATTCACAAATATGGTGATGATATTTATACAATTATTACAGTATTGCATAACAGTAAATCTTCTATGTTTTGGTGTGAATAAAAATTCATTATGTGAATAAAAAATCAAAATGGAATTTATTTGTAAAGCCTCAAAACGTAACTAATGAACAGAAGAAATGTTAGTTTAGTTCCAGGAATACCTACATTGTTTATTCAGGACCCTATTTTGAAATTGGAATATTTTGAACTTTGTGTTAAATTAGCCAAATTAACAATTTCCGATCACTTTAATTTGTAGTTGAAACAGTTGACTTGGCGATTTCTTGTGCTCAATCGATAGAATAGAAATAATACTAGTGAAATAGCTAAGAATTTGGTTGACTGGAATAATGTAATTGGCCTAAAATGGGAGTCAAAGTCAGCAAAATCGCCGATTTGTAAATATCGCTCACACATCAAAATTCGTGAGAGCATAATTTCATCAATTTTCCATCAAATTTCGTACTTTTTGTTTTATTACTTTCACAAAAACATTCTCTACTATTTCATAAGAAAAAATAAAAAAATTTTTTTTTTAAAATTCTTGGACACTGGGGCACCACTTCAGATTTGGGCCTTGGACCCTGAAGGGGTTAACACCCCTCCTTCAGAGTGCAGGCACTGTACTTCCCATCTCCAGGAATCAAGTCCGGCCTGCTGGTTTCCCTGAACCCCTTCATAAATGTTACTTTGCTCACACTCCAACAGCACGTTAAGTATTGAAAACCATTTGTCTCCATTCACTCCTATCAAACACGCTCACGCATGCCTGCTGGAAGTCCAAGCCCCTCGCACACAAAACCTCCTTTACCCCCTCCCTCCAACCTTTCCTAGGCCGACCCCTACCCTGCCTTCCTTCCACTACAGACTGATACACTCTTGAAGTCATTCTGTTTCGCTCCATTCTCTCTACATGTCCGAACCACCTCAACAACCCTTCCTCAGCCCTCTGGACAACAGTTTTGGTAATCCCGCACCTCCTCCTAACTTCCAAACTACGAATTCTCTGCATTATATTCACACCACACATTGCCCTCAGACATGACATCTCCACTGCCTCCAGCCTTCTCCTCGCTGCAACATTCATCACCCATGCTTCACACCCATATAAGAGCGTTGGTAAAACTATACTCTCATACATTCCCCTCTTTGCCTCCAAGGACAAAGTTCTTTGTCTCCACAGACTCCTAAGTGCACCACTCACCCTTTTCCCCTCATCAATTCTATGATTCACCTCATCTTTCATAGACCTATCTGCTGACACGTCCACTCCCAAATATCTGAGTACATTCACCTCCTCCATACTCTCCCTCCAATCTGATATCCAATCTTTCATCACCTAATCTTTTTGTTATCCTCATAACTTTACTCTTTCCTGTATTCACTTTTAATTTTCTTCTTTTGCATACCCTACCAAATTCATCCACCAATCTCTGCAACTTCTCTTCAGAATCTCCCAAAAGTACAGTGTCATCAGCAAAGAGCAACTGTGACAACTCCCACTTTATGTGTGATTCTTTATCTTTTAACTTCACGCCTCTTGCCAAGACCCTCGCATTTACTTCTCTTACAACCCCATCTATAAATATATTAAACAACCACGGTGACATCACACATCCTTGTCTAAGGCCTACTTTTACTGGGAAATAATTTCCCTCTTTCCTACATACTCTAACCTGAGCCTCACTATCCTCGTAAAAACTCTTCACTGCTTTCAGTAACCTACCTCCTACACCTTACACCTGCAACATCTGCCACATTGCCCCCCTATCCACCCTGTCATACGTCTTTTCCAAATCCATAAATGCCACAAAGACATCTTTAGCCTTATCTAAATACTGTTCACTTATATGTTTCACTGTAAACACCTGGTCCACACACCCCCTACCTTTCCTAAAGCCTCCTTGTTCATCTGCTATCCTATTCTCCGTCTTACTCTTAATTCTTTCAATAATAACTCTACCATACACTTTACCAGGTATACTCAACAGACTTGTCCCCCTATAATTTTTGCACTCTCTTTTGTCCCCTTTGCCTTTATACAAAGTAACTATGCATGCTCTCTGCCAATCCCTAGGTACCTTACCCTCATCCATACATTTATTAAATAATTGCACCAACCATTCCAAAACTATATC